TTTTCTCTTCTTACAAATTAAGAAACATTCTCAGATGCCCAACACTCTGCATCACCTCAATTCCTTCACATCTCTCTGACCTCATCTAAGGCACCAACAAAAAGAATGGGACATGATGACTGAGGTTGTCTATTTAGGACTTATTTGGGTCAAGTAGAGGTAGGGTATCATAGTACTTCATTATGCTGATGCTTCCCTTTCCGTTCCTGCACTAACATGCTATGGATTACTGTTAGTGTTCCCACAGCTTCAGGGTCTTGACTCGTAATAAGACCTTCAATGCTGCAGAAATTCTTCCAGTTCTGTATCTGAAATATTAAGCTTTTTCAAAAATGTTGATGTCCCCATTCCACAGGTACCCTAGGGTTTTCTTTGCCTTTTTGTGATCTAGCAGTCTCCGCTCTTATGTTAGATCTCATTTGCTTGAGTCTCCTTGTGGGTAATGGTGTGTCTCACCATTGCCGTAGCTCATAACCGAACTGATTTTGTATGGTTTCACCTTGGTCAAGAGCAGCGTCTTTCCTTAATTGTGCTGCCCCACCATTTCCCCTGACCCTGTTAGTCAAGAGATTTCAAGTGTCCAAGCCTGTTGGGTGGTGGTGGTGGTCCACAGATGGTAGCTTAGCATGTTTCATGTTTGATCTCAGCTCAAAAGTATTGAATTCTTTGTATTCCTTTACCAGGAATTCGAGAAGGAAAAAAAATAAAGTTTTTTTTTTTTTTCTTCCTTTCTTTTAATCACTTCAGTGGCCCAAAGTCTTGGTATAAAACATTCTCTCAAGTCCTGGTTTCCTTTCCTTTTCTCCAAACTCAGGCTGTCTAACAGTTGTGCAAATAAAAATGCAAAGCAAAAAATCTTGCAGTGTAAGCATACATCCAAAGCCTTTTGGTCCGTGGTTTTCAAATGTTTATTTCTGCTTTGGGCTGGAAAAGATGAAAATAGCCACTGAGACACCCATGAGATGAGAGAGGGAGAGGTAATAACAGATTAGTAACTCCTGTTATAATTTTGTTACCTGTGTGAAATAAATATCAGATTCTTACTTGTTTAGTTTCTCCTCAGAAAATCACCCCATTAATTATGCTTCCTCTTCTGAGTATGCAGTATGTTTATCACTGTTTCTTTTGTATTAGCATGTCTTAACAGAACTTAAGTCTTACTCTATCAGAAAACAACAATAATGCTGCCACAAGAAACTACCCATAGCCCATATGTTTAGCTAATTATATGTCTTCTTAACTTAAACTTGTAAATATTTTTGCAGGGTTAAAACACTAACTGCTTTTACTTTTGTAGTTTTTCTTCTTAAAACAGAACAAAAAAGTGAAATCTGATTTATACTGTCATTATTGCACTGAACATGCTCCAGTTAAGATAACAGATCACATTTAGTTGCCACATATATTGATAATAAGCTTTTTCTTAAATTAGGCAAACCTTATTAAAACTCTTCCTTTGCCTTTCACTGGATCATGACTCCTTGTCTTCCTCCAACATATCTCGATATCGTGTGCATCTCCCCTGCCCATTCCTTAAATGTATGTGGCTTAGACGGTAGAGAGTCTGCCTGCAGTGCGTGAGACCAGGGTTCAATCCTTGGGTTGGGAAGATCGCCAACCCTTCCTGGAGGAGGAAGTGGCAACCCACTCCAGTATTCTTTCCTGGAAAATCCCATGGATGGAGGACCCTTGTGGGCTACCGAACATAGGGTCAGCAAGACACAAACATGATTGAGTGACTAATAGTACTTAATAATATCTTCCTTAGAGTTTCATTCTGGGCCTTCTTTCTCTATTGCTGCTTCCTTTGTTGCATGTCTTAGCTTATTTGAGCTGCTGTAATAAAAATACAAGCTGAGTGGCTTGTGAACTATAGACATTTATTTCTCAAAATTCTGGAGGCTGTAAAGTCCAAGATCAAGGTGTCAACAGATCAAGGTATCTGGTGAAAACCCTCATTCTAGGTTATCTTTTCATTGTGTCCTCATGTGGCAGAAGGGGCAAGAGCTCTCTCTGAGGTCTCTTCTGTAAGGGCACTAGTCATGTTTATGAAGGATCTACCCTCAGGATTTGATTACCTCCCAAGGGCCCCAACTCCTCATATCATTACTTTCAGGATTAGGATTTCAGCATATAAATTTGGGAGGAACACAGATACTCAGTCTGAAGCAGTGCTCTCTTGAAATCCTAGGAGTTCATTTATCATGAAGCCATTTTTATAGTTAAATATTAACCCATTCCTTTAAGCAATAGATCCACACATTCTCCTGCCTGTGAACCTTTCTTTGTGAAAGAACTAGGAATAGGATATAGCACAGTGTAAACACAGGAGGGCCTAATACATAACCTTTTCCTGTTTCCCACTAGTTCTCAATATAGTTTCCAGATAATTTAGGGTGTAAGGTCTTAACAATAATACAGTTCAGTGGTGTTCCTACTCACCAGTGAAGAGAAGAAACAATGGCACCTGACCCAATCATTTACAAGAATCACAGTAGCAGCCATCCTGAACATTAGTGAAAAGTTAAGTACCCTTGCAATATATAGCAAAAATCATATCAATATATTAAATTTGAAGTATTATGTGGATTTGACATAATAAATAGTCTTGACAACTTTTTCTATGGAATGCTTTCCAGAAAAGAGGCAAGACTTGGCCTAACTTGATTATGTTTTGAATTTCAGCATACATCATTCAGAGACGGAACTGTACTTTGAGCTGGGAAACAACCCTGCCTCGACTTCTACCAGATATTAAGTGGTCTCCCCAGAGATTGATTGCCATGAAATCCCATTTAATAAACAAAGGCTGAGAAGGTAAACTTCGGCTGCACCAGTCAGAAAACTCTTTAATTGGTTTGCATGGTAATCTCAGTGCCATAGTTTCCAAACCCAGCTATGATAGAAAATAATTGGTAGGTTTTCAGGTTTCTGTGACAAATTTACTAAAAACAAAAATCTGTACTTAAAAAAAGACCCCTTTTTATACTTGTCTTTCAACTGTTCTTTGGCAACCATTTTATTCACCATATTTTTACAGTATTGTGCCTGGGACATATATTTCCCTCTGAAACCTGCATATATGCAGCTGGATGACAAGGACCAATATATACCATTTGTCATAGCCCAGTGGTCTCTATCTTAGCATTTTATGAGCCATTTTTTTCTATGTTTTTCTATGAGTGACTAGTGGTTTGCATTATTTATTCAGTTGCCTAAGACAGAAATTTAGAATTGTCTATGATACTTCACTTAATTGATACATTCAATCAGCTACCACATCTTAACTTGCACATCACGAACCTGTATTTGTGTATTTCCTCTTTCTCCTCTGCCTCTTCCCTTTGAGAGAGTTAGTTCCTAGGTAGGTTGATAAGAAGTCTGGGGTCCCGGAGCAGGAGAGAGGGGTTGGGGTTCTCAAGGAGGAGAAAAGGACAAATGTTTTTTTCTTTAAGCCCAGAGCTGATGATTGCAAAGTGAAACAATTCATCTTGCTCAAGGATATGTTTTTCCTTAAACTCTGTACTAATGATTATATAGCAACAATGTATCCTGCTTGAGGGCATGTTTCTCCTTCTTGAGAACCTTCTGACTAAACCTATCATCTTAAAATGTATATTATGGTAGTGGGTCTGATAAGATCTTTCTAGTGTTAATTCTAATTCTGTCATCTTAAAATGTAAATTGTGGGAGTGGTTCTAGTAAGATCTTTATAACTTGAGATGTTATTTTGATTTATTGTAACAAACAGTTAAAAAAGTATATAGCTCCCTTGCTAAGACTAGTGAGGGGGCACTCCCCATCCCATCTGATGTCCATGTCAGAAGCTTTCTCTAGCCCTTTTTATACTTCAGTAAAACTCTGCTACACAAAAGCTCTTGAGTGATCAAACCTGGTCCCTCGTCCCAAAGCTAAATCTTTTTCTTCAGAGATCATGAATCCGATATTGTTCACTGTAAGCTATCACCTTCACCATTCTCTCTTATTTTGGATTACATAAATGTCTTATTAAATCATCCACATTCTTGTGCATTTGAACCCTCTGCTTCATTCTCCCCACTGTGGAGTATTGTCAGTCTTTTGGTTAGTGGGTCCACAGAAACCCATTGTCTGAAAATCCAAAATTTTTCAAATGATCTTTCTGGTAAAAACCTTAGTGGTTTAATGAAGTTCAGTAATGAATGAAGTTCTTTTGTGAGTCTTTTTAAAAACTCTTATTGTCATATTTTTTTGTTAATGTGATTACTGCAGCAGATGTAAGATAGTGTAGATGTGATGTGTACTCTGTTACACTTATTTGGAAAGACCATCCTAATCCAGGTAGGTCATTCACTATTCATATAAATTGACTGTATACTGTGTCTTTGCTGTATTATAGTTATTTTTTGAGGGGAAAATAATTATAAAGAAAAATAGAAAATTAAACCACTATAAATGGGACTGAAAATGGTAAATTTGTGATTAAGATGATTTTGAAGTATATTTAAAATTGCAAGCATATTCATGTTTTTGTGGACACAAGGAAGCAAATTTAAGGAAGCAAGGTCCTTAACTGCTAGAAATATGTCATTAAAATTACCTTTTGAGTTTTCTAGGATTCTATTTCATCCTCTACTGCCGTCCCTAGTTATGTCATGCCTGTGCCACGTGGGCTGAGGGGGCCTCAACTAACATTGTGGTCTTTTAATTAGATGGTGGAATTCACAGTAAGGATGATTTTTCATCAACACTACCAGAAGTGGGTGCTAAGTGTGTACTCAGAAATAAAGAGAGTGTCTCCTTAGGCGAGTTTTCCTTCAAGTGGGGTCTGTGGCCACAGCCTTAGGACATCATTATCCTGGGGTGTGTGCGTGTGTGTGTGTGTGTATGCGTGTGTGACCACTGCCAGCGTCGGTACTGATGATGTTAAATACGAAGCTACAGAGACAAAGGCCACAGAAAGATAAGAATGTCTTTCCTTCTCTTACTCTCTTTCTAGGTACAATTGGTAGAGAGGGATAATGAGGCATCTTGATCTCTTGGTTGACCACCTGCCTATCTTTTTGTATCACGTCCATTCATGTGTTCTCAGTAAAGCCTTTAATGTGACAACGTGCCTGTCCTGTTCCAGTTTAAGAAAAAATGAGAGGAAGAGAGAGAAACTACAGGAATCTACCTCAGGTAGGCACCATGTGACTTTCCAACCAGTTCTCATATGCACTGACAAGCACTTTTTAAAGGAGTCTGCATCTTTTTATACACACTGCCTTATTTTTCGTCTATACCCTGTGATTCTTGAACTCTGCTTTTCTTCTTGAAACTCTTTAAAAGATTTTCAAGAGGTATGTGAGCATTAATAATTTTAAAAGAATCAACTTCCTGACCCTCAAATTCCATATATATTCTTTACTAACTTCTTGTAAATTTTTGTTTTTCACCTTCCATTTCATAATTTCTCATTCCCTACTTTTAGAAACAATGCATATAATTCACTCATGTCAAATTTTATTATAGGACATTGCTTAATTGTGTAAAATATTCTATGGCACTTAAAAATGGAAGATTTTTCCCCACCAGAGGCTTACTGTCTCTTCTTATCTCAGCCTGTCAAAAAAGGCAGAGATCTTATGGGGAGAGATGGATGAGACAAATCAAAAGGACTATTTGCTTCCAAAAATTAAATGAGAAAATGGCCTTTCTCCCACCTATCATATATATGCAGCTTATTTTGAATATATTCATACCTGTAAGATGTGCTTTAATTGTAAAGGAAAATACCTTCAAATAGATCAAGAAGTACTTGCTATTGGCGTTGATGTATTTCAGAGTAACTGGAAAGTTTTCAGGGACTGCGAGAATTTCCAGCTTACTACTGGAGAAGATTCACAGACTAAAATGTTAGAATGCATTTTTTTTTTTTTTTTTTGTCAATTCAGTGTGCATCTTACAAGTGCTCAGTGTCCTGAATTGTGAAACGCCTGCTTGGTAAGGCTGGGAACTAGATTTTCAGGAAACCCCCTCACAGCCAAAAGAGGAACCTGTGCACAAATCTAAAGGCTGAAGTGAAGCAGACACTGTTGCTCTTGGAAGGCTGTCAGCCTGACAAGGTGAGAGAAAGACCCCTGGAGCCCCACCTTGTCCTTGCTCTCCTCTGCTCAGCATCTCCACTGCTGGCTCTGCCAGCCACCGGCAGCCCAGCCCACACTGAGGTGCCTGGACCGGGCAGCCCACGGCGCTACTGCATAGACGCAGCAGTTCCCTGAGATGGCAGCTTTCATGGGTGTCTCCATCGGCTGCCCCTTCACAGTGCCAGTCAGGCAGTCACGCATCTCAGGTTCTTGGATTTCCAGCAAGCTCGGACCTGTCCACCCACCTCAGTGCTTCAGGAGGGCTGGTTAGTGATGGTTTCTCTAATCTTGATCTTCTGACTCTTCTCTTCCAGATCTTCATTTTCCGTACTCAACCCACATTCACATAAGTAATTCCCTCATTCTGACGTTACTTCTAAAGCTTCTATTTCCTGGTTGAACCTTCACTGAATACAATCAGCTAAAAGCCTATTTTGTCAAGCATATCATGACATCTTATTCTAGTATTAGTCATAATTTTATTAGCCTTAGTAAGAGATTAATATTATACTTAAGTAATTGATATTTTCTTACAGCTGTTGTCAAAAATAAAGTTATGTATTAAATGTTGGATAATTTACTTTTAAGAGTATATATATTTGCTTTATTAGGCTTATGGGAAAATCTAGTTATAATAATAGCATTAAAGAAATTAATTATGAATATTATCAGTTCAGTTCAGTTGTGCATTCATGTTTGAGTCTTTGTGACCCCATGGACTGCAGCACACCAGGCTTCCCTGTCCATCACCAACTCTCAGAGCTTTCTCAAACTCATGTCCATCGAGTTGGTGATGGCATCCAACCATCTCATCCTTTGTCTCCTTCATGGTTCTTATTTAATTTTCTTTAAAATTATGTATAGAATTCAGTATACACACACTTTTACCAAAAATATACTGTGTCTTTTGTCAGATTTCTCCTATTGTAAATAAAATGATTTTAACTATATATTATATTGCTTTATTGCAAATAAGCTATAAGAAATAGCATATAGAATAAATATTATTTGACTTTTTATAAAAGTAAGTGAATTAATAGTATTTTATATTGTTTTAATCTTAATTTGATTGATTTATGCAACAGATCCTTCTAAGAGTATTTCATAATTTTTTTTTCACCGCATTTGTAATACCCTAAGGAACTTGTAAAATATATTTGAATTGAAAAATGAGGTTAGGCTTTTTTGATGGAAATTTGATTTGACTAGTTTATTTATAGGAGGACTGCTTTTGCTAATTGATTTATATGTCAGATATTATATGTATGTTGAAAGAACTGAATATGCAGCTCCAAAGTTGTTGACAAAATTGTGTTTAAACTGCCTGATAAGATTAAGGCATTTTATCCACAATTATTTTATTGGTAATAATGTATTAAAATTTAACAAAATCTTAGTTCTCTCATGTTTTTGAATAAATTGAAATAAGCAAAATGCCTCATATCCAATTTTATTAATTGATAAATAGAATTGATGTTCTATCTCATTCTAGCATTCAATAAAATTCACTTATAGAAAGTGAATTGAGCAAACTTAAACTTTACAACATGAAACTAATTTTAATTAAATTTTATTTGTTTTTAAAAATTAAAATATTTACTATTTTCATAAATTTGTGATAATTATATATATTCAAAAACTGTATTTCCTGTAGTAGTCTTATAATCACAGTGAGAAACAATTTAGAATAATTTTAATTGATTATACATTTATTTCAGAAAAATATGGTAGATGATCAATAGAAGTCCTTGAAGCATAAAAACTATTATAGTAAATAGAAAATCTGTAAACAAAGTCAATGAAAAATAGTGATGGTTGATGTCTGACTTCCCATAAGAAGAGCTTATTCATATATTTTCTAAATAGATGATAATTTACCCTGGTATTTAGATTCCATTAGGTACTACTATTTTGTTTCAAAAAATCATAATTTATATTCATTGGAAAATATTTGCTTTGTATCTTTTTAAATTTGATTAGAAGTTTTAGATGGCCATATAGAAATGTATGAGCTGTACATATCTTTTCAAAATTTTAGGATGTACCTAAACATTCTACCAGATCCAACCAGCCCATCCTAAAGGAAATCAGTCCTGAATATTCATTGGAAAGACTGATGCTGAAGCTGAAACTCCAGTACTTTGGCCACCTGATGCAAAGAACTGACTCATTTGAAAAGATCCTGATGCTGGGAATGATTGAAGGTGGGAGGAGAAGGGGACGACAAAGGATGAGATGGTTGGATGGCATCACTGACTCAACGAACATGAGTTTGAGTAAACTCTGGGAATTGGCGATGGACAGGGAGGCCTGGCATGCTGCAGTCCATGGTGTCTCAAAGAGTTGGACACGACTGAGTGACGGAATTGAACTGAACTGAAACATCCTAAACATAAAATTTAATAACAACTGATCTATCCTTTATTTACTTTTTTTCAGACATATATCTCATTATCCCTCCTTAAATCCATCTCTAGTCTATCCATACTGAGCCTCTTATGTTTCATTATTACCATGTGTTTCTTTGCCTTTGTTTTTTAGTTGCTAAGTCAGGTGCGACTCTTTTGTAATTCCAGGGACTGTAGCCCACCAGGCTTCTCTGTCCATGGGATTCTCCAGGCAAGAATACTGGAGTGGGTTGCCATTTTCTTCTCCAGAGGATCTTCCTGACCCAGGGATTGAACCCGAGTCTCCTGCATTGGTAGGTGGATCGTTTACCATGGAGACACCAGGAAAGCTCATTTCTTTGCCTACAAGGAACTAAACTTCCCAACTTGTCACTGCCTCTCTGTGTTCCCAGTTGTAAGTTGCTCCTTTCCTATCACATGTGGTTTTCACCTTTCCTACCAGTAGGAAAATAACACCATCCTGGGTCCTGTCTAGAGTAAAACAAGTGCTCTAAGCGCTCCTAACAGTCTTTTGTTTGTTGAAGCAGCCACGCTTGCCTCTTTACTTATTTGGCACTTCCAATTGGTCACAGGTAATTTCCCAACACAGTTTTTTGGGAAAAAAAAGAGAAGGTACTCCATAAATGTTTCTTGAGAAAATAATTAACAAGAAGTGAATCAGTGAATGAATAAGCAAATTGCACATGAATATTTAATAGACAAGTAATGCACTAGAAATTAAAAACCACAGAATCTAGCCCTGACTCATTTAAATCACTTGGTCTGTATTTTTAAATTGTGTCTAAAAATCTACTTGCACTCATGTCTGGATAAATACTATTTTGTTCTTAGAAATTCTACTATCTAATTTTCATTTTCTCTTCCTCTTTTTAGCTATCTAATTTTCATTTTTTCTTCTTCAATATAAAGTCTAGCAGGTAATCCTAAATAAATAAAGACTATTGTTATGGGTAAGTTGATTTTTAAATTATCTGCTATACATATGGACACATAGCTATATGTAATATTATGTATATTAAATATATGCCTCAATTTCATAAACTCAGGTAGTTCTGTAGTTCAGAAAATATTAGAATTGGCTTCCTGTGGAAGTAGTTCATATATCTTACAGTGTTTATGATTTTCAGTAATAAAGATTAATGATATTTAGTAGGCTGCTTTCATTGGTCCTGCTGTGATTAGATGTATTACTAGAAAAGAGTATCAATTTATATTTTATAGCTAACAAAATAGAAAAATGATAGCAATAGAAAAGAGCTATATAGAGCAATTGTATATAGATTTTGAATTCAATGAAAATCAACATTCATCTAGTGATATCTGAAAATTAGCAAGGCAAACTTAGAGATTAACAATAAAAATTTTAATGGATGTGATGAAATAATCAAACTGTTTTCTCTGAGTATAAATAGCACTTAAATTCTACCCTAGAGAATTTATTTTTTAGGACTCCATGGCCATAAAATTATAAATAACTATGACTCAGTGCTTGTAAGATTACAAATGTGTGGTATTAGCTAAATCAAGTTGTAGTATCTTATGTTATCACCAGGCCCCTACAATTATTTAAAATTGAATTGATGAGATTATGTGAGATTTGGAGGGATTTACCTGTGAGATTTGGAGGGATTTACCCTCCATTGATAAAGAGGTAAAGAGGGTTGTATTGCAAAGCATATGCTTCCCAAAGGGTCAGACCATCCACAGGGACTCCTTCTCCTATCTCTTTCCTTTCTTCTACTGGAGATAACCTATTTATTTACTGCCCCACAAAGTTTCTAAGGAAAAAAGCAGTGTGTACCCCACATTCATAGCCAGTTAAAGCATAAGTCATAAGCTTCCACAAGCATTTAGAGTACTTGGATACTGAGTTCTTACTGGTCAGGGACCACATCTTCAAAGCCAACACTACAGAATACCTTTTGACTAATCACATTACAGTATTTCTGTAGAATACAGATTGAGGAATAAGCGTTGCACTTTGGAGTTTATTCTTATAGCTAGCACATTGCCCTTTGGTATAAAGACAGCGAGGATCACCCTAGAAAGGGCCTCCCAATATGCCCTCCTAAGAGGTCTAGTGCATGTGTGTTGTCCATTATATTCATTTCCGTATTCTTTGTTGCAGTATTCCTTAATAAGATGTTTTTAATTTTGAAATTTGGGAATAATTGTCTTCTTTTGAAAACATGATTTGAGACTTATTGCAAAGCCACTGTGAATCATGCATCTGATAAATTACTTCTTTTTTGACAGTTGGAAATCAGAATCCAATTTGTGGATTTCCCCCAATAGTAAGAGTGAGGGATTTTATGATGTGATGATTCTTATCTGTCCCTTGTTTGCCTATGCTTTATATTCCTACATTTATTTTTTCATTATTTTACCTACTTCTAATGTATTCTGTTAAGTTATACATTATTTTGTGTTTTTAAGCCATCAATTTTTTTGAAAACAAGGTGCAATTCAAATGAATGAATTAACAATTTTATAAATTATTTTGGTGCTTCATATTTACCACTTGCTAGTAGCCCTGATGTGGCATTTTCACCAAGCTCAAATTATTTCTTCCGTAAATCCTAAAACCACTACTGTAATGCATGTACTGTACCTTAATGCATATACTACAGAGAACAAATAAGATTAGATGCATATCTACTTCAACTGCCTGTCACAGAACCACAGGTCTTTCTACTGAAATGGAAACAAAAATATTTTTGGTGAGGAATAACAAAAAACAACAAAGATAAAGTTTCAAAAAATGTACGTGTGTTTTATTATTAACATTACCAAGGATCTGATTCTCAAACTTACTTGTACACAAAGGTTTCTTATTGTATCCCAGAGCAGTTGAATCAGGATGAGTTCACCTTAAATATATAAAAGGGTAGACACATAAGCTGAAATAAAAATGCACAAAATGTGTAGTTGTTATACTGATTATAAATATAGTAATGGATAAACTTATACAAAATAATTCTGTTTATCTTCTCATACTAAAAGATAATTAAATACCTACAGTTTCCCTTGTATTGTCAGCATCACTTCAAAAAAAATTATTTATTTTTTAACTGAAGGATAATTGCTTTACAGAATTTTGTTGTTTTCTTTCAAATGTCAACATGAGTCAGTCGTGTGTAAATATAGCCCCTCCCTTATGGACCTCCCTTCCATCTCCCTCCCCATCCCACCCCTCTAGGTTGATGCAAAGCCCTTTTTTGAGTTTCCTGAGTCACACAGCAAATTCCCATTGACTATAGATTTTACATATGGTAATGTGAGTTTCCATGTTACTCTCTTGATACATCCCACCCTCCTCTTCCTCACAGCCCATGTCCATAAGTCTTTTCTCTATGACTGTTTCTCCATTGCTGCCCTGAAAATAAATTCATCAGTATCATCTTTCTAGATTCCATATATATGCATTAATATATAATAGTTATCTTTCTCTTTCTGACTTACTTCACTCTGTATAATAGGCTCTAGGTTCATCAACCTCATTAGAACTGACTCAAATGTATTCCTTTTTATGGCTGAGTAATATTCCAACGTATTTCCCAATCTGGGGATCTGGCAAAGGGACTGAGAACCCCCAGGGAAGTTGACTTCGGAGGGCAGTGGGATTTGATTACAGAACATACACAGGACTGGGGAAACAGACTCTTGGAGGGCACAAACAAAACCTTGTAAGCACCAGGATGCAGGAGAAAGGGGCAGCGACGCCACAAGAGACTGACCCAGACTTGCCTGTGAGTGTCCAGGAGACTCCAGTGAAGGTGTGGGTGGTCAGTGGCCTGCTGCAGGGTCGGGGACACTGAGTGTGGCAGTGCATACATGGGACCTTTTAAAGGAGGTTGCCATTATCTTCATTACCTTGACCATAGTTTGGTCTTAGGTCAAAAAACAGGGAGGGAACACAGCCCTGCCCATCAATGGAAAATTGGATTAAAGGTTTACTAAGCATGGCCCTGCCCATCAGAAGAAGACACACCAGTTTCCCCCACAGTCAGTCTCTCCCATCTGGAAGCTTCCATAAGCCTCTTACCCTTATCCATCAGAGGGCAGACCTTATGAAAACCACAATCACAGAAAGCAAATCCAAATGATCACATGGAACACAGCCTTGTCTAACTCAGTGAAACTATGAGCCATGCCCCACAGGACCACCCAAGATGGATGGTCATGGTGGAGATTCTGACAAAAATGTGGTCCATTAAAGTAAGGAATGGCAAACCACTTCAGTATTCTTGCCTTGAGAACCACATGAACAATATGAAAGGGCAAAAAGATATGACACTGAAAGATAAACTCCCCAGGTTGGTCGGTGCCCAATATGCTACTAGAGAAAAGTGGAGGAAAAACTCCAGGAAGAATGAAGAGGCAGAGCCAGAGTGAAAATAGTGCTCAGTTATGGATGTGACTGTTAATGGAAGTAAATTATGATGCTCTAAAAAACAATATTGCTTAGGAACCTGGAATGTTATGTCCATGAATCAAGGTAAACTGGAAGTGATCAAACAGGAGATGGAAAGAGTGTATATTGACATTTTAGCAATCAGTGAACTAAAATGGAAGGGAATGGGTGAATTTAATTTAGATGACAACTATATCTACTACTGTGGGCAGGAATCTCTTAGAAGAAATGGAGTAGCCATCATAGTCAACAAAAGAGTCTGAAATGCAGTACTTGGGTGCAATCTCAAAAATGAAAGAATGATCTCTGTTCATTTCCAAGGTAAATCATTTAATATCGCAGTAATCCAATTCTATCCCCCAACCAGTAATGCTGAAAAAATTAAGTTGAATGATTCTGTGAAGATCTACAAGACCTTCTAGAACTAACGCCCAGAAAAAAAATGTCCTTTTCATTACAGGGGACTAGAATGCAGAAGTAGGAAGTCAAGAGATACCTGGAGTAACAGGCAAATTTGGCCTTGGAGTACCAAATGAAGCAGGGCAAATGCTAGAAGAGTTTTGCCAAGAAAACACACCGGTCATAGCAAACCCCCTCTTCCAACAACAAAAGAGAAGACTCTACATGTGGATATTACTAGATGGTCAATAGAGAAATCAGATTGATTAAATGCTTTGCAGCCAGAGAAGAAGAAGCTCTATACAGTCAGCGAAAACAAGACCACAGTCAGGAGCTGACTGTGGCTTAGATCATGAACACCTTATTGCCAAATTCAGACTTAAATTGAAGAAAGTGGGGAAAACCACTAGACCAAATCAAATCCCTTATGATTATACAGTAGAAGTGACACATAGATTCAAGGGATTAGATCTGATAGAGTGCCTGAAGAACTATGGACAGAGGTTTGTGACATTGTACAGGAGGCAGTGATCAAGACCATCC